TTTTGTTGGTCCCTTCGAATTCGAATTAGACAGGCTTGAGTTTACCAGGTGTCTATAATTATAAAATGTATTACGAATGGAAGGTTTTGAAAGATTCGCATGTTTTCACGCGGCCTTATTCATATCAGGGGACCAATCCGAGGAACTTTCCGAGTATCTTTCCGAGATCCGGTCGAGCTGCGAGTTCGTCAGTCGAGCTTTGAGTGTGGGCTCGGACACGGAAGTGCTGATGGTGCGGAAGCAGCTCGGGGACCGACTAGAGGCACTTTCCACGTCCGCCATGACAAACAGCGCCGCCACTTCGTCAGTGTCCTTGCCGGCGTCTGTGGGGTTATCGCTGTCGGTGTCGCCGTCTCCGTCGCCGTCGCCATCTCCAGCTGGCAGTCTAGACGTCAAGGGGCGTCCGGCGTCCGTCGTCGACTTGTTCCCGCGCGGCAACTCGCACATTGCGTAAGTATATATCGATTTAAAAAACAAATAAAAAGAAGAACGAATGATTGTTTGAGCTTTTGTCAAAGTTTATGCTTTCCGAGTGAGTAATGCACTCAGATGGATCGTCGAGAGATAAGGAGTATAGACGCGTGTTTGTCAATAACACTCCAAATCATAAAACAAATCATGTCGCTTAAAAATGCATCAAAGTCACGCGGATATGATATTTTTATTTCCGGTTTTGGGTTAAAATAATCAGAGTACGTCTATGGAAATCAATGGTGATCTGAACTAGAAAAACTGCCGATTGATTTTTGATTCCTATCGGAAGCATAACCTTTACACGATCGTGTACTTCGTGTGTAATTTTCTCCATCCTAGAATAAATCAATCGAGTGACTTGAACCAAAAGCGAAAGAAAGGGGCGATTCAAATTAATAGGAGATCTGAAAACATTTTCCCTGAACGAGTAGATTTAAGAGAATAGTATGGGGTTTTCGGGTTTTCTACCTTGAAATAAAATTTAAGTGATGCCATCTTTCCAATTTATTTCTACAAGTAATTGTATTCAGGGACTGCAGCTGATCTCGTTATAAAAAAGCGTTGCGATTTTTAATCCACAGCATATAAGTTCCACATGGCTGAGAAAGTGGTCTTTACAGTATCAAGTTCACGTGGGATAAGCTTCTTTTTCTGTCTGAAAAACTGGACGATATCGTCATATTTTCTCGAATGAATACATTGTTTTACTGTTTCCTACAGAACGTATGTTATAAGAATTTTGAAATTTGTTAATTTTGCAAGTCGTTTTCTTCGCACGATTTCTCCTCTCATTGGGCGATATTATGATGATTTTTGTTGTTGTTCAAGCACGTTTGTTTGTGTGTCTTCCGTGAAAGGGAATTCATCTAATTTTTATTTCATCTGTTGATGTCATTGCAGGTTCCATCCGTCAGAAGTGGAGTCAGTCAGAACGAGGATACTGAATATTGGAGCCATTTCCGAATGCAGCGCAGTTCCTTGGAGATCGTCGTGTCACCCGTACGGAAAGAATCGTCGCAGCGACCCGGAATGGCGATGCCTCGCTGGCAGGTCTGTAAACAACCCGGAATAATTCACATCAATTGCAGTTTGCCACATTTTCTTTCCGTTTATATAATAAGAAATGAATTCATCCGCATTTTTGACGCGAACAAAAAAAAAACATTTGGTGGCTGCACTGTATTTTTTCTCGGCCCAGCATTTTTTTTTTTTATCGTCTACGAATGATTCACTTCAGTTGACTTGGCCTTGAAAAATGTTCAAAGAGTTTCAACCGAAAAAATTTTACATTTTTAAAAATGTGCTTAAAATTCAGAGCTAGATTCATATTAAAAAAAAAATAAGGCATGTTTCAGATTGTCCAAAAAAATGTTTTCTGTTCATATAGAGCGCTGAAAATTAAAGCACTTCGTAGACTCGGGGATGTTTTACATGTTCCCATATGCAGTATCTTCAATACGAACATAATACGAAATAGAGTATATTCACGAATATTGGTCTCAAAAATCAGGGGGTGTTTCATATTTCGTGACATTTTGAATTTGATGTCTCAGATACGTGGTTAGACTTTCAAGTGAAATTTCCTTTTTAAAACACCTAAAACCAGATATTAAGTTCATGGACAAATGGGTTAGGATCTTTATATCCCCTTTACAAGTGAATAAAGAAATTGAACGAGTAAACTGAGCTCGACCAGAGTCATCAAATGTATCTGATTGTCAATTGAGAGAATGGATGTTATCTGACGTCGAGCCTGTAAAAGGGGCAATTTTTCGTTTCATTTTTGATGCACCAAGATTGATGTGCAAAAAATATTATATTATGCCGAGTTTTACATTCAAAAACGGTACTTTTTATTTAATTCTTATTTGCGTCGGTCGTTCGAAAGTATACTCAGAAAGCTCTTGTACCGGTACTTTCTCAAGGATTTCATGCCTCGACGTACTCTTCGCGGAACGTTTTTTTTTTTTTTTGGAAAATCAAAATTTCCTGCTTCATGAAGATGTCGTGGCATCTGTTTATGGCAGACTTTTTTCCCCAGTTTTGCGCAGATCGAAATAGCCGTTCTTGTTCAAGACTCTGGAGTCTTTCACGCACATTATTATTTTCCAAGTTGTTGGCATCGTAGTGTATTCCTGGGGTGGATCTGGTGTGTTGCAGTGATCATTCTGGATATGGTTTTATTCGCATTTTTATTATTGCGTATTATTGCCTAATCTGATAGTCTGAATTGATCGACAGCCTTCCCGCTCAAGTATTATATGTATTCCCTCGCATCGTCATGCTGGCGATGACTGACGGAGGAAAAAAAATCTCGGGGCTAAATATTAAAGCCTCTCGTGTTCCAACTCGAAGACGATCGGGTCTTTCTCCATTCGCCCCCCCCCCCCCCCCCCCCCCCCCCCCCCCCCCCGCACCCCCCCCCCCCCCCCCCCCCCCCCCTCCCCTTTTTTTATGATGGAGCAAGCGAATTGGAAGATCTTATCGAAGCCCAAAATCCGATACTGAAGGATCAGGGAAAGAAAGTAGATTATCGCACGCCTAGTCGATGAGATGGATGCTTCATCAGCAGTGTTGAAGTACTGAATGGAGTTTGTATTTTTCATTTCATTTTTTTTTTGCGCAGGCCGTGTAGGGTTCTGGTGAAGCTGAGCGACTTCAGGGGAGAACCCGCGACGTCGGGTGGCGCCTTAGACGTGCTGAAAGCGGATTTGCAGCCAGCTCATCCCATGGTGGGTCGCCCTCCCACGCAGATTGACCCCGTGCGACCCGGTGAACTGGAAGTCAGCTTTTCTTTGCCGACCGAAGGCGACTACTTCCTCGGGCTGACCTTGTTCGATCATCACATCAACGGAAGTCCAATCAAGGTAAAGTACGGTATTGTATGGTACAGTTCACTGAAATAACGCTTCGCTCGTCGTTGAAATACCGACGAAAGGCGACACTGTCAGAAGAAGCTCTCCCGTCCCTGATTGTCTTGACGTCGTTCTTTCATTTTTTTCTGGAATATTGAAAGGTTTTAAATATTTTGAAAGCGCTAAGCAAATCGTCGTTTGCAAGATGTCCTTTCTTTTCCTGTATAAGAGTTTATGAGCATTTTATGAGGATAGTATCCTCTTGAAAGCTACAATCAGTTCCCCTCAGCAATGTTCCCAGTGAAAATGGATGCTTTCTGTTAAATTATATAAGTTTGAAGTAGAGATTAGCAGGGTTTTCTGTCTTTCATGGCATTTTCTGACCACTGTACGTTCGAATTAATTTGCAGCCAGCTCATCCCATGGTGGGTCGCCCTCCCACGCAGATTGACCCCGTGCGACCCGGTGAACTGGAAGTCAGCTTTTCTTTGCCGACCGAAGGCGACTACTTCCTCGGGCTGACCTTGTTTGATCATCACATCAACGGAAGTCCAATCAAGGTAAAGTGCGGTATTGCATGATACAGTACACTGAAATAACGCTTCGCTCGTCGTTGAAATACCGACGAAAGGCGACACTGTCAGAAGAAACTCTCCCATCCCTGATTGTCTTGACGCCGTTCTTTCATTTTTTTCTGGAATATTGAAAGGTTTTAAATATTTTGAAAGCTCTAAGCAAATCGTCGTTTGCAAGATGTCCTTTCTTTTCCAGTATAAGAGTTTATGAGCGTTTTATGAGGATATTATCCTCTTGAAAGCTACGTAGTCAAGGGGAGTCGTTACAAGGGTCACTTTTACCTACGAAAGACAATTTAATATATTCAAACTTCATCTCTAATCGTCCCAAAAGACAGAAAGTACCGTAAAAGACTGGTGACATGCAAGCTTAAACAGAATGACTGCACAGGGTTCAGGAATCAAATCGTGGAAAGTAGAAGAAAACTAAATTATTTCCCGAGCAATTAGTATAGATTCATCGAAAATGCTTGACGTCACGCGAGAACATGCACATTATTCATTAAATGGGGAACTTTTAATATTTTTTCAATATCACATCCGGTTGAAGGAAAATAAGATTCAATCAACTTCAAAGTACAGTAAATAGGTCTCGAAAATCCTTTAGCCTCTTTATTAGTTTATAAATAAAAGTTCGACGAGGCTAACATTGAACCAAAAAAGTATCTCACTTATTTTCAATTACTGTGGATGTTTCTGAGATGAGGGAGTAAAACACATCATTCGAAAGCATCAACTGCTTTTCATAATTTCAAGCTTGACGGCTTTTGTGGTTTGCGAATAAAAATAATGGCGAATCATTTCTCATCGGTTTTATTTTAAATATTTCACATTTAGCAAGAGTAGAATGTCTGGTCCGTTTTGGAGTGCTTCTCCCGAATTTTATATTGAAAATATTCAAATATCGTTTGATCGTATCTGATATAAGTACTGTAGGTGTCTTACCTCGGAAATATTTTATGACTCCTACTGATTCCGGCGACTCAACGCAGGTATTTCAATACAATTTTGAAAATACAGTAGTTCTTCCATCGAGATTATTCCTTGTTTGAATTAACAGAGGAGACTTGAAGTGTGGATTTTTGCTTAGATTTTTCCTCGAGAATTTGGAAATCAATTGACTTTGATTTCTATCTTCTTTCTAAATATTAAATTTATTGTAACAAGCTGGGGGTGCCCAGCCACACCTGGGCAATGGTTGGTAAAATTAATAAAATCCTATAACTAAAAAATACCCAAAAACTAACCTACCCTACACTAATACCTACCCTATGCAACAGTACAACTTTTTAAATTTATTATAATTGGTGGTAAATATTGTCACGTCGTTAAATAATGGGATTATTTTCGTCGTTTTAGGCTGGAATCGGCTGAGCTTATAGTACTGCTAATGTTCTTTGAAATCACAGCTACCGACTTGAAGACGCCAGGAATATAATCTGAAGATAAGTTGATTCAAAGTAGACTTAGTCCAAGTACCAAAAGAACATAGTGACGACCAAGCAAAAAAAGAGCTAAGCTTGAGGACTAAGAGCTCAGCAAACAGCTGACCACTTTGGACCTAATCTAAGGACAATGCAGGATATTATTTCTTTGTCAACAATGACAGCTTCGTTTAGTAGAACTCGAGACTCAGCTCAAGTAGTACAGCAATCTTATCTACCAAAACTTCATTTCCTGCGACGAGGGCTCTAGAACAGAACAGAGAAAACTGATTAAATATGCGCAACAACTCCGACAAAAAAAATTCTAGCTCAATTTTCCAAAATGCATGTCCCAAGATGAACTCTTTGAAAATAAATTAAACAGTGTGGGACGGGTTCCGAACTCTAAAACGCGCGTTATTGAATTCTATTGTGCGAAAGTGTCAACACATTCAATCGCTTCGATTTTTTTTTTTGCCTTGTCACTTATTGTCGAATGCGTTTGCGCTTATCAGTTCAAGAGCATTCGGTTTTCATGCTCACGTCCCTCATGTAAGTTGTCGATTACACTTCGTGCCTGACTGTTGGAAATGCAATCGCCAGCACAAGAAGGATTCCTGATGTTGACGGGCATCAGTCAAAACTTCGGAAATTTGCTGCGAAATGCGCTTATCCTTTGAAGTTTGCGCATTTTTGAATTAATTTTCCAAGAAAACGCTGGTCTGAGGAGTGATTTGACTTTACAAGACCGGGTTTAATATTCGGAAATACGCGCGAGAGCTTCTGGAGTTTATATTATAACAGCTTATCTACATAATATACAGTGCAATTGACAAAATTATTCAGTGCTCTAGTTACCGTAGTAAAATATACGGTAGTAATTACAATCAGTTGTGAGTGTACTGTTGAATATTTGCATGGGTGCGAAAAATGTTTCTCTCCAAAAATGTACTTGAAGGGGGTTCAACATATTTTTATGACTATTTTGTAGCAAGCAAAATCGTATTTGAGCATCTTAAATATAGTTTTGAGGGAAAGAAAGATAATACCGTCAGAATGGTGCTTTTCGCCCAAACTGAGTTTAAAAATAATGCTAGTTATTCGTCAAAAATTTCAACAACAAAATAGCCGAGGCAGTTGGAAGGGAAATGAACAATCAAACTTATGTACATTAGTGTTTCCTATTTAATGTACCTTAGTTTCCGAGTTTATCATATTGGTAATGTTCAAACTTTTGAGTCTTCATTTATGAAGCAAACCTGATGCTACAGTATCAGTATATGAAGTCGATTAGAAGAGCCCTGGAACTTGAATTTTCAAGGTTTTTATCTTTGCCATTCTTTTAATTAGCTGTAACAATTTTCATTTATATTTTCCGGAACGAAGAGGTCGATATTATTTTAATTCGAGTCGCTTCATTTTCCGCAGATTGGCTCGACTTCGAGCGAAAATGGATGTAAAATTACGATGAACGGAATCAACAAAAAGCGAATAAAGATACAGTAATTGAAAAATTTTCCCTGAAAGAAGCGAACGACTGAACATAAAAATCTTTAATTTTCAATATGCTGCATGCGTAAATAGAGCTTTTATATCCCGAATGGGAAATGTGTTGTTCTTCAGGGTTTGTTAAAATTTTTCTTTCATCTTCCCATCTGTGTTTTTTTACCGGTGGTATCATTATGCAGAACGAAAGACGCCATATTTTGTTCAGAAGTTTATTTATATTAGAAATGATTCCGTAATGAGATGCTCAGAAAGTAATCACTTTCTGAGCGCCTTATTACAAATTCATATTCCTTGACAAATATTTCCGAAGAGTTCATCCGCATGAAATTTGAATTCAAAAGCCTGATCAGCAAAACCATCCGTGCGCTTATAACGATTTGATCACGACTGAACCTGGAATGAAATTACTGTATTACAATCTGAAATGCGCAAATCAAATGCGTTTTACTCTAATTGCGCTATTCAGGTCGTCCTTGATTCGTGTCACGAGTACGACTACATGACACGTACTGTACATCATTCACAGATTTTTATTTCCACAGGTGATCGCGATAAGAGACGACGACTCGTCTTCAGGCGACAGGCCGGCATCGAAATTGGCACGCACTTCGGCTGCCAACCGTTTGTCTGTGAGCAGCAGCGTGCCGGGTGGGCTCTGTGGTAGTCACAGTGCGAATGCTGGCAGCTCTGTGCGGTCCCGACGAACGTCTCGCAGTTCTTTAGGTTCAGCAATGAGCATGTCCGGCAACCCCAGGAAACTAGTTGCTGTTGTCCCCGACGACCTGTTGGGAAGGATTGGCAGGAAGGGACGAGCTGTCGGCGAGTTCGCTAATCCCCAGGTACCTGCATATACATTTTGCACGCATATATGGAATGAGGCCATATGCCCAGTCTTGACGTTTCTTCGATGAAATTACATTGAAAAAAAAAACACTTCCTCTTAACAGACAGTCACAGTAATCCTGGATCTTTTCTCTTGAACCCTCTTCAAACTTTTTTTTTAATGTTATCGTAGTTGACCTACGCTAAAATAGTAGAAAAAGAAATACTATGCTCTTGTAGAAATACGGGTGAATAGAAATTGAGAAGGATTTCTCTTAAACCCTTTTTAAACTTTTTTTTTAATGTTATCCTAGTTGACCTGCGCTAAAATAGTTGAAAAAGAAATACTATGCTCTTGTAGAAATACAGGTGAATATTTGAACCTTTTGTTGAACCTATATTGTATATAACTCAAACCTCCTTAAGTCAAATACCTCCCCAAGTCAATTTTTTTTTCCTGTCTCCATCCGAATTTCCTTTAAAAAATGCATTACAAACCTCTCTAACCTGATGGCTTGTCCTCTCAAACCTCTGTGACTCAAAGTTTCTGAGGCCGTTTGACTATTATTTTCTTCGCACAGGAAAAAGAAAAGCAATAAAAAAGTAACAATGCATTTTGAAAAGAAGTAATAAATTAATTTGGCAAATGAACCCCTGCCTCCAAGTTCAGCATCCGGTCAATTCGTTGAAGAAGCAATTTAGGGCCTAGAATATCACCAATTATACAATGTCCTGCAATTCTTCTATGTTTTCCACAAAAAATGCCTGTTTCCCAAACTCAAAACCACCCTATAACTCAAAATATCTTAGTTTAAAGCTCAATCCTCAAGTCAAAATTGTTTGCTGGTCCTTTGAAATTCCACTTGGAGAGGTTATAAAACTTATATTAAGAGAAGATTGCATGTAGCAGGGACAGGACAGAAAAAAGCATGGTTTTTTTATACTGAAAATTAATTTATTCATGAATAAATTTATATCAAATTTCCTTGAGTAGTGATCAAGTGTCTCATGAAACTTGCTTGGCACTGACCATAACTGCATGCTTCAAACTTATCGTCCGTCGTTTGAAAATCTCAAAATTAAGTATTAAAGGGAAGAGATTAAAATCATAATTTTTGCTTGAGATTCAGGAAAATGATTTGATCATGTCCGCAACGAATTAGTCTTTCCATTTATCCATTAAACTGAATTCACCCTTCGTTTAATTTTTTTTTTCTCTTATATACTTTCTCTATTTCTACTTAAAATTCTTCATTCCTTCGAATGGAATGAATTTTGAATGGAATCCATTACTTACACACAGGGCGTGTGCTGTCTACCAGAAGGTACGATTGCAGTTTCGGATTCCAACAACCAATGCGTTCAGGTGTTCACCGAAAAAGGCGAATGCGTTTTGAGGTAAATAATATTTTTCCTCAATGGATAATAGGAACATTTTTTTCATCTTGTCGAATCATCGAGTTAAGATCGAATTTACCGGTCCTATACTGCACTTGCATTACTCAATACATTATTCTTTCATGGAAGATTTAGCATATATGGTAATCTCGATAAAAAATATTTATTAGTTTAGAATCGAAGAGTTTCCCTGCCATTAAAATTTGTAATGGATTGACCCATTACTATATGTATGGTATCGATTCGAGGAGAAGCCCTCATTAGAGGATTCCCGTTTCTAATTTTTTAGGCCTTTTGAATTCTTTACTTGTATTTGTTTGGTCATGAATACATTTTTTTCTGCAGGTTCGGAACCCGAGGGCGTGGGGTGGGTCAGCTGCAACGCCCCACCGGCATCTCCACGCTGCCCAATGGTAACTTCGTCATCGCTGACTATGAAAATCGATGTTTGTCAGTTTTCGACGCGTCAGGCAAGTTCCTGTCACGAGTGGGGGTCAACAAGCTTCTAGGTATGTCCGTGTATACCTGCATGTGCGTCAGTAAATTTACTGAGCACTTTCAGTGCATGGTTTCTATTCATGCATGAATAGAAACCCTGGACAGTACTGGAACTGCTCAGAAAAGTTAATAGATGTATGTGCATTATCTGATAATTTTTCTGAGCCCGTTTTATAGTTCCGCTAAATTGTTCGGTGCATTGATTATAGCATTACACATTTGAAATTTCAGTAGGTGGAATGAGAGCGCTTGCATTTCAGTAGAAAAAATAAAAGTGATGTCAGTTCTGAAAGTACTTATTTGATGCAGAGTTATTATAAGATTACGGCAATATAGTTGCAGAGAGAAGTAACTCAAAATATTCGCGATGTGCTGGGCAACAGCTGCATTTTTCTGAATTATTCGTAGATTTCAGCTCTGAAAACTTTGCAAACAATTCAATGACGAATGCTGGAATCTGAAACATGAGGATGAACTCAAAGTCGCAACAGTTCACAAAATCAGAACTTATTTGTCGTTTAAAAAAGTAGTGACTACAATCCCCAAAGTGACTCGAATACTATTACATTTTGCCTGAGCTATTATTTCAGAGAGGATGAACTCATACATGATGATGTCTTCTTTCAACGTGAAGCAGCAAAAATACTCAACTGACTTTAAATAAAATGCATTTTTATCTGAAGAATTATTCAAAAGAGCAAAAAATCACGCTAATTGGAAAGAATGACTTGTTTTGGGAAATTTATCCTTTTATCGAGAATATTTCAAGACAATTTTAAAATATTATCATACTAAACCTCATAATGCGCCGAACAATGGGGCAAATATGTAGGGAAAAGTAACCATACTTAAAAGGGAATTTTTAAAAATGAAAGGGGATCGTAGTCTCATCTGTCAGCAAGTTTATTTCCACTTACAAATATAAAAGGGTATTTCCTCTGAGCATTTCAGTTGCTAATTATTTTGATAGAGAAATAAAGTATTTGAAATCCAGAATCTGATTTTTTAAACTTTTGAGAATGAAATTTATCAAAGGTACGGTATTCACATTCAAGGACAGTTTCGTATAAACATAAAAATAACTTTCACGCAGCCTTCAATTAGCCATACTAAGCATTCTCATTAATTTTTTTTCTATAGAAAAGCGATAATTTATCTGAGCTATAATTAAGTCCGCGATGATGCTGTGACTAAATATAAAGGCTTATTTTTTTCCTAATATAAGACAGGCGATGTTGTCTCGTATAAGGTTGCATTATCCTAGAGCGAAAGCTGCAGTACTAATTTTTAGCATGATCACTAAACCAAATCAGGAATTTCACAGCAATGATGATAATTCTTCATTCTTCAAACGAAGTTTGCATTATCTAAGAGCAAAAGCTGCAGTACGAATTCGGCACGACCACAAAATCGAATCGAGAATTTCACGGCAATGATAATTCTTGAACTCGCTATCATCAGGTCCGAAGGGGGTCATGACGGACAGCGAGGGCAGAATAATTGCTGTCGACAACAAAGGGTCTTGCGTCGTCGTATTCAGCGGAGAAAATGGGAAAATCCTGAACCGGTTCGGCACGCGTGGCCTCCAAGCTTCGCAATTAGCCGGTCCTCATTACGTCGCCTTAACTCACCGAGGACAGATGGTCGTGTCGGATTTCCACAATCACTGCATCAAGGTAACGTTTTCTCGCTTTTACTTTTCGAAGTCATTTTATGGGTGCATCTTGTTTTAGTTGTAAGGAATTTTACGAAACATATTCTCGAGAAATAAGTCAGAAAAACCTGCAATCCAGAAAATATTTTTTCGTTTAAAATTGATGGTATATTCCATGAGAACTTGAATCGCGTCTTGAAAAATTATTTTATTTCGCGCGACCTGAATTAAAGTTTCAAGACATAGTCCAAGAAATTGGACATTTATAAGAAAATAAATAACGGTTGAAATTGTGCTAAATTATTTTGTGGGAGTTTATCTGCTGGACGATCTATTTTTCATTTGGCGGAATATAGATTATGGATTTCATTCATTTTATCCAGGCATTTTATTTCATAGTTCTTGAGAGGAATGTCTCAAAAGTCACTCAACGATGGAAACGTTTTTCGATTGAGCTCGATTTTGACAAAACCCGATTTTGCGTATGATTTTCAGGTGTTTGACAAGACAGGAAAATATGCTTTCGGCTTCGGGTCAAACGGTGAAGGAAATGGGCAGTTTAATGCCCCAACAGGTGTCGTGGTTGATAACCTCGACAACATAATTGTTGCCGATTGGGGCAACAGCCGACTACAAGTGAGTATGCTTAGTATATCAGCCAATAAAATTGTAAGGTCTTCGTTCAATTATTTTTTCGAAACAGCTGTTGTTTATAGAAATCCATCAAGGCATATTAGGATATTTATGTACAGTACACACATTCTTCAGAAATGTCGATGTATTTCCCTTGCCTTGAATGGCAACATGTTTGTTTCATAAAATATGCTGGACTCGTCCGTCAAAATGAATTTTGCAGAATGCACGTCGATAACATTTCTTGGGAGTAGTTTTGCAATTATTTGGCCCAGTAATACAATTACCCTGCATTAAACTCGAATACTTTTTAAATAAAATATTCATGATAGGTTTCCTGTTTGAATCCTGGTCTCATGAGCTGTAATTTTATTTCTATAGTCAATGTTTAAAGATAATGGAATCGCTGCAGCTTAATTTCAAGTCGAAGGTTCCGGCGGGGCTTTTGATAGACTCTGTTTAACGAGGGTGAATACAATGGCGATAATTTGAAGTTTGCTCGAAAATCCATGAGAAGTTCTGCTGTTTTTTTCAGAGATGTTCAAATAATATTCAAGATAAAATATATTTAAGAAGAGCGTATTTCCGGAATTCACCAAGAATGTTCTTTTGGGCAGGTGTTCGACTACCAAGGCACTTTTATGGGCTACATCAACAGCCACACGGACCCACTATATGGTCCGCAGGATCTCAGCATCACGACAGCTGGTGTCGTCGTGGCTGTCGACTCGGGCAACCATTGCGTCAAGCTTCTCGACAACAAATATGGCATCTGAAAGTTTCAACATTTCCAGATCCATCAGCAGTGTGGTCCCTGGAATGACAACAAAATGCCTGTTCCCTGGATATACACAAAAGGGGGAAACCAGTTATCCCTGGCTTTTGATTTCCACATGCCACTTTTTTTTTAATCATGATGACGACGAACGGCGAATCTGACTATGGAAGAACAACTTCAGAATGAATTCTTGGCAAATCTTTGCTTGTCGAATTTTTCAATGACGATTATATGTTCCTATATGAACAATTCGGAACGTTTAAAAAAGAACAGCAGCGTCTCATTCTCAAAAGAAAACATACCAAATTTTATTTTGATTTCCAAATTCATTTTATATTTTGAGGAACACGAGAAAGAGCCCCATGCATGTTCCTCACTTTCGTGCAGAAAGAAAATGCGTGTATCTGATTCCGCAAGCGTGATTTGAATACCTGAATGGAGCAAAGACTGGCGAACTTGTTCGCAGCTGCTGCAAGCTTATTGCTGAATATCGTTCATTGATTTGATGTTGAAATAAATTTGTTTTATTTTGATTGAAAATTATTTTGGCTTTATGTGTTTCATCATATCGCCGTTGTTATAGGAATGTCTCTCCCAAGATCATCGCGTGATTTATCTGGAAAAATTCTCCAGGAATTTTAACGAATCATTCTCCTGATCCTTGATGCACTCATTTGCAGTTTTACCACTGCTTCGAGATTGTCCAAGTTTTTCGAATTCAGAATGGTCCTATATATGTCTTAAATCAAACATTCTGAACACTTGAGGTAAATTTTTATGTGTACATTTGGTTGGCCTTTCAGAAAAAACATAAATCCCGGGAATAATAGCTATTTTATATTTTTGGGAGATTTGGGTCTTAATATGCCTGTTCTCGAAAAAACGTGCTATTTTAAAACATGAGAAAATCATCGTGCAATGTAGTCACTAGAAAATCAATTGGCATGAGTTTATTTCTGAAATTTAGTTGCATCAAGATTCCTCCATTTCATGAATTTCGATCGATTTTCCCGAGAAGAAACGCAGCATAAAGTCATTTTCTTCTCCCGGATACGCAGTTGAAGGGATAACGATGTAATTACCGGGTTTCAGGTCAACCTTTCCTGTGACCTCTCTTAGTCGACGATATGAACCCGAGCCGCCCAACTCTTCTTCAAGGTCGGCGTCACAGAGCCATTGATATGGATTTTTAGCATTCTAAAAGGCAATGAAGAAAATGTTCACTTTCGACATCTCTTTGTGGTTCTACGGGTCAATTTGCAGACCTACTACAGACACTTAGAAAGGTATCAACATTATAACACAAATTTGCTTCAAATAAAATTGCGACTTACTAATTTTTTTTTAACTGCGAAAGGGAACTTTTTGCGAGCAATTGCGGGACTGAGACTCACGGCTAATGCATGAAAAATTTTGGCAAATTACTTTGCCATAGTATAATCCTCAGGGCAACGACTTTTGTTTCAAAATTACATGTAAAAAAACAAATCAAAGCACGTTGACACACACAGATGAAAGGCAAGTTTTCCCCTATCTAACCCAGGTACCATACATTTTTTTAATCAGAATAATGTTCGAATTTTATCCCGTTTCCCATGCTAGTACAGTATATACTGTACGTTCTTTCGTCTTGGATTGATCTTGTGATCTAATGAATGTCCCGAAAACATTCTGTAGCAGTATATAGGGAATCACACTGAATCGCGAAATGTTGAAAAACGTGCTCACCGCGCGGTATACCCGGAAGCCAATGCTCAAAAAAATGGCATGCTGTTTTCGTCTGTACATCTGCATGAGGCCGATGACGACTGTACAATCTCCCTTATCGTCATCGTCGTCTGGCTCAGCAATCGTGAAAAGATATTGAGGATTTGTTGCCAAGGGACGCTCTTTGTTGGCAGATCCTCCTGCCGAGTCGCCCACCCAACTTCCGAATCTCATTTTAACCTTTGACAAACATGCAGTTTAAGTTTAGATCCACTTTCCGCATGAAAAAAAGCAGCCAAGTTTAATCTTGAATGTGTAAAGATTAAACTAAAATAGTCTATTACAAATAAAGCTGGAAAGTTTTAGAATCTGTATGAACAATTGCATAAAATGATGTTAACAAATGATATGTGGAAAGCGGAACTGGAGATTGATCCGATTTCTTTCCTGAATCTTCGGAAATCATAATTATCGAAGACTGTTGAGTTAGTCTCTTCTCACAAGAAAGTATCTTTCAAAATCAAACCTCTGTTGTCGACGGATCGTCTGGCCGAAGATTATCATCCAGGTCAGGTGTTATAGAGCAAATAGTGTAGAAGCTGAATTCGTTGGCAAAGTCCTTGAAATTCATCCAAAATTGACCATCGTCGTGCACTTCGTGGTGTCCTATTCTACTTTTCACCGCCTCGCTGACTTTGCTCCAACTATTTTCACTGAACGATTTTTAAATTGGTGGTGGAATGATTTCGCGTTATTCAAGAAATCAAAGAAAAATTTTGTGATGAAATTCAGTGAAAGATAACGGTGTAGTAGTCTTACTCAGTGTCACTCCAATCCCCGGTCCACTCAACAGCACTCGCCCACGGGTTCTTTATTCGAATTAATCGATTGGGTTCAGGTCTTCCTTGCGATGAAACGTATGCAACATTTGTGATTGTGTATGCATGTCCATCTGGAAGTCCGTTTTTTACCTCAGCATGGCCCTGGAGCAACGCAAGAATAAACATTCCAATAAGATACCTGTATAATCTCCTTTCAAACGTGATCACCGTATTTTACACAATAATCACCCAAAAAACCTTTTGGAAATTATAAAAAGTTGAAACATTTAGGTGTTCATGTTAGTTTAGGAAAAAAACAATCAAAAATTTGAGAATTTAATGCAGGAATATACTGGATCGAGCAAAAAGCCTGAAAAATACGAAATAAAAATTCATTGTATACATCATAATCGGTGCACGATGTATTTATTCAAAATTGTGACGAAAAAAGTATGTAAGTTTATTCATGATTGTAAAAGGCTTCACCATGCTTCGTCCACAGGTCATAAAGGATTTGTTCTCGAAAGCTCGGAACAATTGCTTGAATAAAAGCTTCTCCTTCTCGATGGTCAAATCTTTTGAATCTGATAAACTGATCATTTCCGTGATTCCGCCAGTCAAGTCAACCATGCCGTCCATTGTGTATCCTCCTTCCAAAGCTTCGTAACTTCCGTGCAACCTGTCGCATTACCGTGGAGATTAATTAAAAATTATTTGTTCGAGACATCTGGGAAGAAGGAAAGAGGTATTCGAGCCACCCGGGATGATGATTGGATATGCATTCTTACGAATAATATCGATGAGAGTCCAAAAAAGTATTGGGCAATTATACATCTCAAAAATTGAATATTATGATGGCCGCGTTTTTTCTCCTAATAGCAGATTTTACTCTTCAGAAAAATTAATTTCAAATTCTCAAATTAATGAGTATAATAGAAAATGAATGTAAAATGTTTCCTAGAAATAGATTGAGTGGGATTGCGAAAAATCCGATTGATGTAGTATGCAAAAATGGTTTCTTTGAACATACAAAATGTAGAGAAATAAATAAATATAATTACTATTAAACGCGTTCATTTCAAAAGTCCTCAGGATTCTCAGGGATATGGTTACTTGTGGTCATCTAAATTCTAAATCACAAATAGTTAATGAAGGCTATTTTGTATAATGTGTGTCTTCTATTTTACCACGTTTTTACCACGTTTTTATGAACTCACTTTCTTGTCTGT